TGGCGTCCACTCACCCTCTGCGCTTTCACTGGGAGCTGCAATCCTGAGCTGTTCCTAAACGGCCATCTTGGATCCACCTCCCTTCTTCCTCTTTTTTCTTCTCTGCTTCCCCTCCTTTTTCTGCTTCTTTTTTTCTTCTCTTCCTCCTCCTTCTTATTCCTCTTCTCCCTCTACTTTCCTCTCTCTCTCTCTCTCTCCCTCTCCTCCTTCCTCCTCCTCCTCTCCTCCTCCACTTCTTCTTCTTCTTTTTCTTCTTCTCTTTCTCCTTCTCATTCCCCGTCCCCTTCTCCTCCTCCTTCTTCCTCCGTCTTTTCCTCTCCTCTTCTTCTCCTTTCTCCTCCTCTTCCTCCTGTTCTCCTTCTTCTTTCTTCTTCTTCCTCCTTTTCCTCTTCTTTATCTTCCTCTTCCTCTCCTTCTCCTTCCTCCCCCTCTTCTTCTTCCTTTTCCTCTTCTTTCCCTTTCTCTTCTTCCCCTTCCTCTTCTTCCACTTCTTTTCTTCTTCTCTTCCTCCTCCTGCTTTTTCTTCTTTTTCCTCTTCCTCCTCCACCTCTTCCTTTTTAGCAACAATGCTAGTTATCCAAGTAAAATCTTGTGTGAAACCCAAGAGAACAAACCATGCAAGCAGAGCTGTTCTGGGATGTGAAGTCAGGGTGGACGCCCAGAGCCCCGATTTCTCAACCATCTCCTCCTTCCCCCTGGATAACCCCGGGATTCTTCAGGGGAATCCTTGGTTCTGAGGGTCAGAATTTGAAACCCATCAGACAAGGGTGTTGAAGTGGAAAATACCAGCTTTGATCTCTTTTATCCTAATCCATAACCTATTCCATCCGAAAAAGGTTGAGGGAGTTTTCTCTGAGGCCCATAGCCCCTTTAAAGCTACTCTGAAATAGACTAATAGCTTTAAAGCTATTCTAATAGACTCTCCATCAACAGGGAGATAACGGTTTGTTTTACTGGAGAAGGCTTCCTGGAGCTCTTCTCTGCCCCTGGAAGAAGGAGAGATGGGCATACCTCAGGTTATGCTGCAAGCCCAGTGGGCTCTGGGGAAGCGTTGCCTTTTCTGAGTGTTTCTTAACACCTGCATTCTCCCCTCGGCACCCTTGGGGTGTTTCAGATCGATCAGCTGAAGCACCGGTTGAATAAAATGGAGGAGGAATGTAAGCTGGAGAGAAATCAGTCTCTGAAACTGAAGAATGACATTGAAAATAGGCCCAAGAAGGAGCAGGTTCTGGAGCTGGAGCGGGAGAATGAGATGCTGAAAACCAAAAACCAGGAGCTGCAGTCCATCATCCAGGTGAGGGCCTGGGGGCTGGGACAGCGTGGGCAGCAGGAGAATGAGGGCTTGGGGTTGCGGAGACAGACGCACCTTCCGGGGTGTGAGTCCCAGAGCCTCACCTACACCATGCTGACCGCAGGATCATAGACATGCGTGCCCCACTTGGGCACCTGTGCCTCCTCCTCTGTAAAGCGGTGACCCTCACCACCCATGTGTCAGCGACATGAGATAATACTTGAGAAAACATGTCCTTATTTGAAGCACTCCGGGAAAACCACCATCCATGTGGAAATCAATGCCCTGGGCACTGTGGGAAGAGAAAAGGACATCCAGGAAACCTTCGTGCCCTTAAAGATTCCAAGAAACTCAACTCTAAGCTCCACACCACTTGCTGCAACCCCAGATGCCTCCTGGCATTGGTCATCATGGAATCATTTGTGGGCATGGAGGAGGAAGTTGCTGAGGAGTGACATCCCAAAACATACCTGCAGGGCAAGAAAAAAAAACCATCCTCCTCCTCCCTCCAGAACGATTCCTCCCAGGAGTGGCTGCCTGGTGACTAAGGCTGTTTCGGAGCGGAGGATGAACCCAGCTTCACCAGAACACATTCCTGGGTATTTCAGGGGCAGCATCTAAAAAAGCGCATCCACCCTCCCTTTGCTGTCGCCTGTGAAGTGTTTAGGGTCCAACAGTTGCTTCCCTGGGCTCTGATAAGGGAGAACAAAAGGCCCAGGATACTCCCAAGGAGAAGCCAGTTTTATGCTTCTTTCCAGGCGATAAACTTCTTAAATTTTAAGCTTCCTAGAGACCCCAAGGGACATAGGTCTCTTCTTTCCTCTATCTTCCAGGCACAAAAACTTCTTCTCTGTCTGTGTCTGTTGCTGGCTCTTCTGTCCCCTCCCTTCCCGGACCACCTGGCTCCCCGCCCCCACCCTGACCCTGTTAAACCCTCTCCCTCCCACCCAGGCCGGGAAGCGCAGCTTGCCGGACTCAGACAAGGCCATCCTGGACATCCTGGAACACGACCGCAAGGAGGCCCTCGAGGACCGGCAGGAGCTAGTCAACAAGATCTATAATTTACAGGAGGAGGCCCGCCAGGCGGAAGAGCTGCGGGACAAGGTGGGAGCAGGTCCCCTTCATACCAGGGGGCAGTGGTGTGTGTCAGCAGGACCTCCCTGACCCCACACTCCTATCAGAGGACTAGGTCAGACCCCTGGCACAGATCCCCTGCGCTTCCCAGTATTCAGCCCCTTGCAGGAGTTACAGTTTACCAACCAGGTGAGGGCCTGGGGGTGGGGCAGTGTGGCAGAGGGGAGGATGAGAGCTTGGGATTGGGGAAACCGACATACCTGCCAGGGTGCGAGTCCCAGAGCCTCACCCACACCTTGCAGACTGCAGGATCCCAGATGTGCAGGCCACGCTTGGGCATTTACGAGCTACTGCACCAGCTTAGCACCTGTGTCCCCCTCCTGATTGAGGCCACACTGGCCTCCCCTGTGTTTCCTGGTGTGTAGTGGTTTCATGACAATGCTGGGTTGATTGGCCTCCTACCTTGAGCCCCTGTGGTCAGATAGCCAGTTCTCAGAAGGACAGGCCATGTGCTGACCATGCCAGCTTAGGGAGGGACAGGCCAGCTCCAGCCAGCTGGCGGGAAGGCATGAGCAGAGAACAGCTGTCAGCCCTGACCTATTGATTGCTTGATGCATGTATTGATTTCTCTGTGTTGCTCGCAGTACCTGGAGGAGAAGGAGGACCTCGAGCTCAAGTGCTCGACCCTGGGGAAGGACTGTGAAATGTACAAGCACCGCATGAACACGGTCATGCTGCAGCTGGAGGAGGTGGAGCGGGAGCGGGACCAGGTACAGGCACCACCTGCAGCGTGCAGGCGGCAAGGCTGCACCGTGGGGCCCACGCCCCAGACCACCAGGTCTTTCAGAGAGTTTTGCCCAGTGCAACATCACTGACGATGCAGGGATTACTCCTGAATCCATCTTTCCCATTTCTGTTCCAAAAATGAGTTCTATCTCGCAGGCATTTGGGTATCGGGGGCCTCTGAGCTGGGCTCCAGCAACTCCCCCAACCAAGCATGGTTCTTAAATGTTTTCTGGTCTCTCGGGTGAGAGGGAGGGGTTCAGATCCAGCCCTGTCATTCATAAGATGTGTGCCCATAGGCAAACTGCCACCCCTGTGAGACCTCAGTGCCCTCACCTGTAAGATGGAAATAATTACAGTAGCGCCACCTCACAGGGGCAGGCTGCGGCCTTCAAGGGATACCGCATCAAAGTTCTCAACACAGAGCCTGCCACTAGCAAGGGTCGGACCAACGGTTCTGTGACCATGTTAATGAAGATGGTAGTGACTGACACGCCCAGGAGTCAGGCTCCAGACTAGAGCCTCAGGTGACGTGGCTGGCCCCTGGGATGGGGACGATGCCTGTCCCTGGGCCCAACTGGATTTGGCTGAGGTTCAGCCCCAAAGCAGCCTTTGTCCCACTTCTCCCTGGCAGGCTTTCCACTCCCGAGACGAAGCCCAGACACAGTACTCGCAGTGCTTAATCGAAAAAGACAAGTACAGGAAGCAGATCCGCGAGCTGGAGGAGAAGAACGACGAGATGAGGATCGAGATGGTGCGGCGGGAGGCCTGCATCGTCAACCTGGAGAGCAAGCTCCGGCGCCTCTCCAAGGACAGCAGCAACCTGGACCAGGTGGGGCAGGACAGGCAGCGCCGCGCCTGAAGTCAGGTGTTCCCTGGCGCCCGCTGAGGGCTCTGGCCAGTTGCCGCCTCCACCTGAAATGAATAGCTCCCTGTCCTTTGCTTTTTTTTTTTTTTTTGAGACAGTGTCACTCTTACCGGGTCAGAGTGCAGTGGCGCCATCTCGGCTCACTGTATCCTCTACCTCCCGGGTTCAGGCAATTCTCCTACCTCAGCCTCCTGAGTAGCTGGGACTACAGTCACGAGCCACCGTGCCCAGCTAATTTTTGTATTTTTAGTAGAGATGGGGTTTCACCACATTGGCCAGGATGGTCTTGATTTCTTGACCTGCCTGCCTCGGCCTCCCAAATTGCTGGGATTATAGGCATGAGCCACCGTGTCTGCCCTTGTTTTTTGTTTTTTTTGTCTTTTTTTTGAATTAGGGTCTTGCTCTGTCACCCAGGCTAGAGTGCAGTTGCACCATCACAGCTCACTGCAGCCTCAAATTCCTGTGCTCAAGAGATCCTCCCACCTCAGCCTCCTAGGTAGCAGGACTAAGGGCACACACCACCATGCCTGGCTAATTTTGTATTTTTTTGTGCAGACAAGGTCTCACTATTTCCCAGACTGGTCTTGAACTCCATCCTCAAGCAATCCTTCCCACCTTGGCCTCCCAAAGTGCTGGAATTACAGGCGTAAGCCACTGTGCCCAGTCAGCTCTTCATCTACTTGAAGCCAGAAGGTCCCTCCCACACCCAGAATAATCCACATCTTTCAGCCTTGTGTTTGTGTCTGGTTAGTGATGAGTAGAAACCACTCATTTTGAAATTGGTAGGGCTGGGCTCAGTGGCTCTTGCCTGTAATCTCAGCATTTTGGGAGGCTGAGGTAGGAGGATCGCTTTAGGACAGGAGTTCAAGACCAGTCTGGGCCACAGAGTGAACATTTTTTAAAATTTAAAAAATTAAAATTAAAAGTGTAAATAAGATTTAGGGTCAAGCCTGACCCAGCCACTTCCTCACTGGGCAGCCTCCCTCTTAGGATCCTCAGCGCCCTCTCAACTGACTACACACAGCTGCTGGCCCCCCACTGGGGTTCCCCCCCACACACCTGAACCATCACTGGGTTTAAGACGCCCGTGTGAATTGCAGAGTGCATTTCCCATCAGGGCCCCAGGCACTGAGAAATGAAGGAATGCTGCCTCCAAGGTAGATCTTATCACTATGGTAGCTCTGGGTTTACCGAGCACTGTCACGGGCAGGTGCCACGCAACATGTCCTCTGTGCATTACCTCATTGACCCCACAGAACTGTCCTGCAAGGAAAGCATACTTAGTGTCCTCATTTAGAAAGGAAAGGACCCTGACCGGGCGCCTTGGCTCACACATGTAATCCCAGCACTTCAGGAGGATCTGTATTCCCAACCGCAGTTACAGCATGAACATGGCCTGGCATGCGGCCTACCAGCAGGCCATGACTGGCGCTTCCACCCACCCGCAGAGTAGGAGTCAAGGAGCAGTGGCAAGGGGGTAACGGGGCATGCCAGGGTGGGCTGTGCACACCAATGAGCTTTCCTGTTGTTTGAGCCCCTGAATGATTTTGCACTGGGAGTGGGACAAGAAGCTTTGAGTGTGGAGGCAGCACGGCATGAGGGTACTGTGTGGCTTTGTGGGCCACACAGAAGCTCCATCATGCCACAGCACTCCACTTCCTATTTTGTAAAAGGTGATTATCAACAACCATCTGTACTTGTCAGGAAGGATTCAATGAGGTGGTGGCTATGAAGCACTCCAGACAGTACCTAGCACTGTTGGTTTTTGTTTTTTGTTTTTTGTTTTTAGCATCATCTAGTCATTCTGAATATTTTTTCTACTTTTAGCTCAGTCACAGGGCTAGAAATTGGAAATGTAAGGGTAGCAGATGAGATATAAGGGGCTGAGACCCATTAGGAGGCAAGATCTTTACCATGGTACGAGAAGACCAGGGCTTGCTTAGGAGACTGGCCCAGAAGCCTGTGAGGAGGAGGCATCGTTAGGCTGGAATGATGGGGCTTGGTGTCTGGGGGTATGGTCAGGGTCAGGAAAGAAGAACGGCAGAAGTGAGCTTCAAGCTCAAATGGCCGATAGAACAGTGGCGCCATCAGCCCAGCCATCCTGCCCACTGGTGGCTCGTCACCAAGCGTCATCACTAACGCCGGCTTCTCTCTGTCCCCAGAGTCTGCCCAGGAACCTGCCAGTAACCATCATCTCTCAGAACTTTGGGGATGCCAGCCCCAGGACCAATGGTCAAGAAGCTGACGATTCTTCCACCTCGGAGGAGTCACCCGAAGACAGCAAGTACTTCCTGCCCTACCACCCGCCCCAGCGCAGGATGAACCTGAAGGGCATCCAGGTGCATGGGTGTGGAGGGAGGGGGTGCAGGTGCAGGGCAGGAAGACTGGGAGCCGGGGGCCCCTGCAGGCGGCGACAGGGCAGCACGGCCACGCCCACTTCTGGGTAGGTCTTAGGTGCCCAGACTGTGACTCAACCTATTTCAACACTGTAAGTTGAAAATCCTGCCCACTCACTCATTTGTACATTTTTACTGATTCCCTCTCTCTTATAAATGTAACATAAGTTAAAAGAGAGGGAAAGAAAGAGAGGCTGGGCATGGTGGCCCACGCCTGTAATCCCAGCACTTTGGAAGGCCAACTCAGGAGGATTGCTTGAGGTCAGGAGTTCTAGATCAGCCTGGGCAACATAGAAAGACCCAGTGTCTCAAAAAAATAAATAAAGGAAAAAATTAGCCAGGCGTAGTGGTACACACCTGTAGTCCCAGCTACTCAGGAGACTGAGGCAGGAGGATCATGAGCCCAAGAGTTAGAGGCTGCAGTGAGCTATGATCCCACTACTGCACTCCAGCCTGGGCAACAGAGCAAGACCCTGTCTGAATAACGAAAGAAAAATAGATAGAGAGAGAATGAAATAAGCATTATTTCAAAATTCAGGCTGAGCACAGTGGCTCATGCCTGTAATCCCGGCACTTTGGGAGGCCGAAGTGGATAGATCACCTGAGGTAAGGAGTTTGATACCAGCCTAGCCAACATGGCAAAATCCCATCTTTCCTAAAAATACAAAAATTAGCAGG